ACCCTGGCAGCCAGCAGCAGACGTACCTGGCTCTCATACATCACCCACACTCAGGCCAGCAAACCACCTCCATCCTTGCCATCAGCTGAGAAGTAAGACCAGCACAACCCCAACTAGAATTTATCCAGCCACTGTGCTATTCCTCCTGCTCCTCTCTACTCACAGAAGACAACACAAGCAGATTTTGTCTAGCTTTTATTAAAAGGAAAGTTATAAAAAGAGGTTCAGGAGCTCCCAGCAGCTCCAGGTTAGTAATAGTGCAAACCATTGGTTAGAGAAAAAGTCATCCCTGCAGAGATGTCGAACACCATTTGGCTTTGCATCCACAAAAAAGGAAGTTTCCCCAGCTGCAGTCCTGCTGGCTCAAGCAGGGGCCAGGACAGAGCAAACTGCCAGCTCAGGAAAACTCTCCTTCCTTTCCCTCTCCTTCAGCTGTATGGAGGGCAAACACAGGTCCCAGGGGCATCCCGGTCACGAAGGAGCAGGAGAGGTGCAGGAGGGTGGACACAGCTGGTATTCTAGAAGAGGCACTGAAGGGTTACCAGGTAGCAGCTCAGACACTAGCTATGCTCATCAGAAATTCCTCTGTGAGGACCAACAGCTCCATTTCAAACAAGTAAAGAGTCCGCAGAGCAGCTGGAGGATGATGCTCAGTCACTCAGCAGCACACACTGCTCCCCCTTGAGCTGCTGTGAGAACACCCTAGAGGGCTCTAATTGGGCTAAGAGCCCTCTGCCCACGGCTGACCTTGCAGGAACACAGTTCTGGCTGCTCAGAGGCTACAGAGCTCTGAAGGAAGCAGTAAGAAATGCTTATTATATAAAAGAATTTGGTGTGTGTTTTCTTCTGTTTTTCCCCTCCCCAAGCCCTACTAATGGCAGGGCTCCTCAGCTGGTGATCTGTACTGGTATCTTCCAGCAGAACAACATCTGGCCCTGGTCATCCACCAGCTCCCACTTCACAATCAGTTTAATCTGAAAGAGAGAAATAGCAGAGGGAAATAAGAGTGCTCAGGAAACCGTAAGGGAAGCACAGGCAGAGGGGAGTTATCACGTGTGGAGCAAGGAGGTCCTGGGACCTCTGCACATAGAGGACGGAGCTGGGGCACTGCTTCCACTGTACATGGGCCATGTTCACGTGGCGACTCCTGGAGTATCTTACATGGATGGAGGGTTCTATCGTGTGACAGAAGACCTCCACACACTGCACCTGGATCCCCACTCTCTGGGTAAGCAGAGAGTAGAAACACACTTCAACCTCCCAGCTGAACTGGGAGCACTCTGGAGCTGAGTTTGGGAGCATTTGGCATCAGGCTCTGCAGGGAGACGTAGTACAGGAGGGTACTTGGGCAGCTGAAGCCCCTTCTCGGCAGCTCGAGGCAGCTTCATCTGCTGGTTCTATTCCAAAGTAGGAACTTTAAACAAGAATCGTGCTCACAGCAGAAGTGCTACCAGATAGTCCAAGGAGCCTTCTAGCCTTTTCCCCACTACCATAGGACAAAGTGCCCATCTTTAAAGCTAAGAGGTAGGAACGCCCAGGAAGCTCTGAGGAGCAGATCAGCTGCCTGCTTACTTACACTAGGGTACTCGCTCTTCACGGGGAGTTTATTCAGGTAGCTGTAGGAATGGCCCTTTTGAATGGGGCACTGGATCCCAGACTTGCATCCGTCAGGCTCAGGAATGGGAAAGGGTATGTCCACATGCAGCATCTCGCCGTACACCCTCGCTTGGCTGCCCTGGCTCTCGATCTCTGCGGAACAGTGAGAAGCATAAGCACGGCACCAAAACAGGGAACACGTTTCTACCTTATGCCCTCCCCTCCACACACCCTGGAGACTGCAAGAGCACAGTTAAGGGATGCCCTTAATTAAGTGTCTCAGCCACGTCTTCCCACCCAGACCCCTCTCCAACCACCATTCCCGCCCCAAGCAGTGGGACACAGAGATGATCACCTGCCCACCAGCTGAGGAAGCGATACTTACTGCTAGCAAAGGTGACATTGATACTGTAGGATGTCCCCTTGTGGAGCAGGCAGGGCTGCGTGGGGCAGGGGCTCACGTTCACCTCCTGGATGCTGCCGTCTATGGAACCTGTAAGGAACAGCCGGGATTACCAGGATTACCG